CATGGCGATATATTTGTCATTTAAGTATCATATCATTTCTTTTACGAGGCTCATCATGTCTTATATTAAAAGAGATACTAACTCTTGCCACACTAAAGATCTTAAATAGACTTGTCCATCTTTCAATTTATCATTTTTAGGGGAGAATTTCAAAATGTATACTGATTGAATAGGGAACAGTGTAGACTATGATCAGACTGCATGTCTGTGCCCTTTGATCTTTGTCTGCACTAATTATATGGTTAGAATTTGTTTAAAACAGCTGGCTAAAGGCTATAAGCTTGTTATTTGTTAGCAGAAAATAACACAAGGTAATTGTTTCTATAAATCAAGAAAATTGTCCTTTTTGTCAAACATTTACTTTCTTGCTGAACTTAGTGTTTTTACAGGTTTGACATTTAACCTTAATTAGGAACTCCTTAGGTAATATAGTGTTTTAGGCAATAGTAGTGTGATATAATTAATACTCGCCTATGCCATCACTATATCGCCAGGCCAGCCTTTATTTTTGTTCAGGCTACCCTATTCTTGTGGAAGCTCAATTTTATTATTAGGATATTTGAACCCTTGAAGTAACATGAAATGATCCGAACTTAAATTTAGATGAATCAGCAAACTAATACTTAAAATGATAGTTCTTTTATATAAGTGTGAAGCAGATATCCAGTAAAAAAAATTGAATGATGTAATTTTGCATTTACTAGACTATCAATTAATGAACTGTGTTTAAGCATTGTATAGATTTGGTAGAATGTTTGTCATTTATTTTGCTTGTAAATATCTGAAATCTCATTATTTATTGTAAATTCTATGTTAATATGTTGATTTTAAATGTTATATTTTATGCCTTTTTTCATAATATGATCATAGTTGTTACATTATGTTATCAGATATATGTTATAGGTTTTCCCAGCATCAAAAAGGGCCAGTTATTAATATAAACACTTCTAGTGAATACAATGTTAATGATGTGCCTTTCGTCGGCATTCACATTGATGCCAACTTACTTGACTTTAATACTGTCCTATGCTCATTCTTTAAGTACTTTCAAAGTTTCATAGTAAAAATCCCTCTATGGTTGATCGGGCATTCCCCAAATTCACTAAAGGTGGAGTCCATTTAATAAATTTAGGGGTTGAAGGTTAATGTATGATCTCATTGGGCTATTATTCTCATTGAGACAGTCACTTAACCTTTTGAGTAGTTGTGTACACTTGAAATGATAATAAGGCCTATGTCACTGGTGTACAATCTGGTGAGCCTCACCCACTAATTTTTGCAATCTTACCAGATCTTTTACCGTTGGCTGTTTCATCTATTTATTATTGTAATAGTTTGATATTGACATACCTGAAGCTACAAATGGACTGTTCTGAATTCAAGTCCGGGGCACATTTTGCAGTGAGATCAGACTATGTATTCTGTTTACTGCTCAATATATCATGTTATATTTTCACATTAAAATACCTGAAATTTTAATGGACTGTTCCACAGTCAAAGTAGTGTGGACAAGTTCATTACACAAATTCTGTTTTAAGGGTTTAATTGTTGTATAGGATTAATTCACATTTTTTCACATCTGTGCTGTATATTGATATATATCTATATTGTCTAAACTATGGAAGGTCACATTTGTATTATTTTATCAGAGACTTTTGTAACATAAAGCTTCTTGACTTTATTATTGATTGTATGGAAGTTCACATTTATAATACTTTATTATTATTGATCGTATGTTAAGATGATGATGTTTTTCATGTCACAGGTTGTTATTTAAATGCCAAGAGGTTCTGGAGATTTTAATGTTTAATTAAATCATATTTTATACATATTCTGGTCTTTGTTGTTTTTTCCCTAGTATTATGAAATTTCAGCAAGTAGTGCAATGCATATCTGCTATAAATGCTGTCAAATACAAGTATCTGGAGTGTCAAATTATGAAATGAAAGTAGTTCTTGTGCGCGATCTAACACAGTATAAAAGAAATGACCATTATATCATCATGTAAGAAATTGCAACATGCATTTGTATAGATCAAGCAAAGTTTGCTATATTTATCAGTTACTTATATATGGAAAGAGTAACAATCTTCAAAGAAAAAAGTAGTAATTTTTTTAGATCTATTTAAGTAGCTCCTAATAAAATGTCCTTGTAGAATTGCGTATAGCAATGCACTGCTGTTATCTTATTAATGAGTATATTTCAATTGGTACATTTGTTTTCTCAAGGAATATTCAATAAATAAACCGAAAATGATGATAAGATATTTAAATGAAAAATTAGTCCGCGTCTATCTGGAATGTCATATTTCCATGTTTTCTTTTTTCTTCTTTCAAAATAATGAAGATTCTTAAATACTAATATAACCGCATTGAAGTTGTCTGTGATAACTGCTGTATTTTAATAGTTTTGAGTATTTTTTTTTCAAATATGTTAAAGAATTACAATTTAGACGGAATTAAGTATTTGCTATCTAAACAAAAACCGTGTACATGTATATTGAAATCAATGCGACGCGTTAAAGAACACGTGACTTACCATACGACCAAAGTGAGTCTTTATCACTTCACAATGTCTATGAGATGGTGGAAAGATATTATATATGGCTTAAATAAATTCTAGACCATGTTACTAAAGGTGCTAAGTACTAGTGATAGAAAAAATATGCCGACACGTAATATTTGTGAAACGCACATTTTCATGATTTTGTTTACTTTAAACTTTACGGTACCATCATTTCAATGTCGCAGAGCTCTCATTGCTTTCAAATGACAAACTTTCGTTATATCGAACTCACCAATAGATTTCAGCGTTGATGTAAGCTAGAAATGTTTTCGACCAGGAATTTACAATTTTAGCAGAAGTGTTTTATTTTCAAAATTGTCAGGTACATGTGTATTTCTTTATCACATACACGTGCCGATCTTGCGACTCCGTAAAAATGGTAATGCACGGCCGGCCGTGCATAGATATTTTGACGTGGCGTCATTTGTGTTATAGACGCGCATCGCGTTATTATGGAGGCTGACTCGTGTCATTCGTTTTTTCGCCCGCGAACCCGCCAAGCGAAAAGTCGAGAATTAACAAGTAAAATGGCGGGGAATGAAACTGCAAGGGCGAGGCGAAGTTTAATAAATAGCGGTCCCGCTAATTAGCGTGCTTTCACTCCGCGTTACCGCGATTTTATTTCTTAAATTTCGCTTCGCCCTGTGCCGCCGCTTATTGGCGAATTTTCGCACCGCGGCCCCGCCAATTTAACTTATCAATTCTTGACTTTACGCTTGGCGGGGTCGCGGGGGCGAAAACAAGAATACCACCATACGTTTCACTAAAAGCATGTCAATGTAAATATGATTCCTTTGCAGTCTAACAGTCTTTATTTTGGGTATATGATAAAAAGGGAATATTGTATTTGTGTAAAGGTTCATTACTGCAATTATTGAACGAGTTGAATAAAAAAATATTTTGCTCGCTCCGGACTCGCATAATATAAATTTATTCAACTCGTTCAATATATTTAGTATTAAACCTACACTCATTCAATATAAGGACCATTATGCCTCAGAAATGATGATATTTAAATTTCTCAAAAGTTTTTTCTTTTTTGTGTACTTTTATAAAAATAAAAAAAGCCTACTCATTAGTCAATTGCCTAAACGACCTTTTTTATTGCCTTCGAAATTTAGTAGTTATAGTGATTTAATATTTCATATGAAAGTCAAAATTCTACTTTATTACATTTTGTTACTTTTTAGTTTTATGAAAAATCATTTTACATTCTTCAAATAACAATCATCTAAACATGCTCTTATTCATTATTCAAATGTTACAATTCATGAAAAGGCTTTCTCCTTTGAAGAGTTCAAATTTAGACAGGATACGCAGTGATGCAAATATACATTTACACTTTTGAATTTTCTATGCATAAGAATTAGTTCTAGCCAAAACAATACATTTTGAAATGAAAGTAAGAGTATACGGCCGCTTCGACCTTGTCTTCGAATTCATAAGGGAGCAGAGATAGAGGATCGGTCCTTAACGATGACGCTGCAAAGAACATTTCCTATCTACAGTAGTGTAAGCTAACAAATGATATGGGCATATAAATAAATGTTGTAGTGATGAGACCAACATGAATTAAGTAGTGGCGAAATTTTATTAAAAGAAGAGGGGACTTAAAATATTGTTCCTGTTCTCTGTTTATACATGAAGAGCTATATATTTTATAGGTAGAATGGTATATTTGAAGGAAGTTTTATGTTTACTAAGTACTAAGTACTATGTACTTTTAATATGTTACCTCAAAATAAAATCATTAGATCTACCTGTATTTGACAAAGAAACATCAAGATATTTTTACAGGTGATGTCTCTTCCAACGAGTTTTAACATCCGCAGGCCAGCTAGCGTCTTCTCAATTTTCATATTTCCCAAGGGATCTCAATTGTAAGAATCTGCTGGTAATTGTTAAATAAACTAATCTGAAGCTGGGACTAATATTATCATGGAGTTGAATAGACTAGTGTATGTATATCTGTGATATTATGTAGTGTATCTTTTTGTCCCAGTCTGAAGCAAACATTTTTTCACGTGCATACTGTACTGTATAGATCTAGTTCTATATTTTTTTTAAGACAACAAAAAACATAAATTAGATCAATGGCTTAGGAAAATAACTGAGTAAGTGAAAAAGCTAATAGAACAAGGTAGCAAATGTATTTTTTTGTAATAAAAATCCAGAAAATAAACAAAGCATGCCATCTCTGATTATTTTAGTAGTCATTAACCCTATGTAGCGCGTTTTTGTTTTGGCGGGAATGCTCACGTTGACTGTCTATTTTTAGACGTGACCCACTTACGCCCAACGTATCAAAATATGTGTATTTATACAAATAAATGTTATTCAATGATTAAAGGGCTCAAATATAAGAGCAATACATAACATTAATCAAATGAAACGATAAAAACAAAATGTCATTTTCTCAATCATTTGAAATCCCCAACTTTCATCGAATTCCCCCAATTGTTGTAATGTTCTAAGCGACTCATAATTGGTTATTTTTGGAAGTAATCATGGCGAGGTTACGTTTTCCTGGCCGTCCTGGCCATCGCTTTGATCGTTTAAGCCTTCGGTATTTTGCAGATGACATTAAGAATTCGCAGGACCCATCTTTAGCATTTTTGCCACAATTCCAACACGGCCTCAAATCATTTAGAGACATCGTTGGTTTGTCGGATGAGGTAAAACATATTTGTATTTCCATCGGCTTTCAAAATGGCCGACATCGCGAATAAAAACAAGCGTATGCATTGAAAAAGTGAACGTATTTAATGCGTAGAAGAACAAAATTAGTTATAACAATCAATCCCGCAATTATTGATTCAAGCTGATATGCATCACATCTGAAAAATAGTAATTGATCACGTGAATTCAGATTATTTACAAAAATAAGAGGATTCCTTGAGCATAGCATAGCATTGACTGATGCAATTGTATCCTTACCAACATTAACAATTCTGTGAACAAAATCAGGCCATACATTACTGCTTTGAAATTTGGAATTTATTGAATAATGCTATCACAATCTTATCCAAACAATATAATGTCAGTGCAGTATAGATAATGTGTAACAATCTTAAAAATTCATTTGATACCAATATGTAGAAACACATCTACTTCCTGTGATCACAAAAGCTATTACATGTTTACTTTTGTCAGTATAGCGTGTATGCATGTAGTAAAAGCAATAACCCTTACACATGGATTTATGGAATTGTATAGATTTGCAATACATTGATTTTGTTAACTATGTACATTGAGGTATAAGTGGTAACCAAATATATTTTGCCTGCTGCACAGTAAATGGGCCAATTTTTCAAAAATACATGTAATGCAGGCTTTTCAAAAAATATATTGCATTTTCTATTATTTCTTTGTATTTTTATATAGGACTTACTATAAAGCAAATGTGCCCCAAATTTTTTTGTGATAGCATTACCCAAAATAAAGATACAGACATTTTTATACCCTAAAAATGTCCAATTTTACATGTAATGTGTTAGCATCTGTTTTTTTGGTGTTTTTAGAATTAACACCGCTATTATCTGTTTTAATTTATCACTTAAATTTTTTACATGCACATAGAAAATTTAATAACCTTTCCAGTGATATATAATACTTGGTATACATCATCCTGGTTTTTATCGTTAAGATGATTTTAGTAAAATCAGACTTTTGTAATGCATCAGTTTTTTCAAAATTCAGTTGTTACACAAACAAGTATACCTTTAAGCAATTACAAATAAAATAGTACTTTATTGTCTCAATCTAATGAAATATGAATTAAAAACATATATTAAGTGTTTTCAATCCAAATTTTCAAACATTTTTACCAAAATAGGCATTTAAGTGGTAAAAAAACTTTTGTGATGAAAAAAACTGTAACATCCGTCCCCCTCTCATAAAATATGCCAATTATAAAACAATACTCATAAAAAACAATGTTTCTGGTGCTTAATGATAGCCTTACAATGAAAATGTTATAAAAAAATGCCAATTTCTATGTTTATGAGAAAAAAATACAATAATGTAAAAGTTGTCTGTAACATCCGTCCCCGTAACATCCGTCCCCCTATATAAGATGCTTATTAAATCTCACATAAACTGTAACTGGAAAGGGTTTTTACACTAAAACACCAAAGTTACAATGAAAAATGAAGAAATAACAGAAATAAAGCACTAAAATGATGTATTTATAAAAAAAATATTATTTGTGAACGCAAAATTCCTTAATTTTGAAAAAAAATCAATATTTTTTTGCTCTGATAACAAAATTATTTACTTTGAAATAAAATATATATTTTATTTTTTAACATCAAGTGGACCTATGAGTTTATTAAGATAATATTTAAGCTTATATGAATTTATAACAAATATAATCTTTTGTTATTCTGTGTTTACAAACTAAGGGTACAGAAGGGGACGGATGTTACAGAATTGAACTAAATATTCTTTTTACAGTAATACTAAACTTATCTTGTTCTTATGATGCATGATAGAGAAGTAGTAAGCTTTGCAACTGTATAGGAATGTTTCACACAACAAATAAAATACTATTTAAAAAAAACTAGAAGAAACAAACACAAAATTCAAAACAGGATAATTATATAGAAAGACTGGTGCCAAAGATAGAGATGTTGAAAGTATCTTTGTGATTAAAATTGGTCAATTGGTTAAAACATAAATTCTTTAGCCTGAAATAGTTAACAAAACCATGTATCCCAAGCCCCTCATAAACAGTGGGATATGGATCCTAACTCTATTACACACAGAAGGGGCTTGCACTTTATTGGAAGTTAACGAGCTGTATATTGGGAGCTGTGTATATTGGGAAGTGTGATATATTACAAAACAGTAGGGGTGCCAATTAAGGGTGATATATATTATGCTTAAAACAGTGGGAAATACTGCCATATCTGTTTCAAGAATGTCTGTCATTTAGTAATTAAGTTGAAGATCATTTAAGTCAAAGGATTTATTGAACTTCAAAATTTTACAGGCTAAATATGTAGTCACTGAAAAATAAACAAATAAAAAAATATAATTCAACACCCTGATTAAAATTTTTAGATTATTTTTCCCCCCAAAAAAACTCAAGCGCATTTTTTCATACAATTTGACCCATTTAATTATTGTTAATAAGTGAAAGAAACTTGTAAGTAAAGGATAAGGTAAGGATTCCTGTAATGAAAAAGTTGGAATAATTGTGAAAATTATTCTTGTAAATAAACCCTTCGCAAATTTTTTTTGCACCTATAAATTATATTGAATGACAAATAATTCATTAAGTTAAAGCAGTTCATGTACACTGAAATATTTACACAGACAATTATTAAAGTTAGAAAAAATGAGATTATGATACTGAATCATTTAATGAAATCTTTGGATAATGCTGCTAACATTCCACATTAATTTACTTAAAATTTCATCAAATCGATAGAACTTAATTGCAGCAATTTAAAATCTTATAATTTTTAATGAAAATTTTAAAATTGTGTATAATTTATGTATTTAGTAATGAGAAATTCAAAGCTTGCATATGTTTCAATCTGAAAACTTATTTTACTTCACACTGTATCATATCGTTTTTACAAAAATAAATTTTATTATTTAACGAATTTAAAAGAATTTTGTAAATAATTTCATGTATAGAAAAGGTACTGTTGGTATGACATTTTCTTTTTAATGTTATGCATTATCTGGAAACAAAGATTCTTTTGTTTAATTAGCAATGTTTTTATTTTATTCCAAACATTTCAATGTTCATTTCAAATGTAAGATAAATGGAAGAAAACTAAGTCAATGCAACTTTTCATTGTGAAACGCAAATAGTAAGAAACTTTATAATTGTCGGGTATATTTCTACATTTTTCTTCTCATAATTTGTTCAATTTTTTTAACATTTATTGTACTGTACAAAGCATATACTCTTATAAATTACATTACTTTAAAATAAAACCAAAAAAAAGTATAACTATGAGCTTTAAACATCTAGTGTAACATCCGCCCCCCAAAAATGTAACATCCGTCCCCCTGATACAATTCATTTTGGTTATCTGACAAGAAATATACAAAAGAAAGTCCTATAATTTCTACTGTTTTATAAGAAATGAGTTTGCATATTTGATTTAAGTATGATTTGGTGTACCTATCCTTGTTTTATTTCTCTCTGTTTCTAACATGTTTGAAAATTTAATTTTGTGTGAAAAATACTGAAAATTTGAAAGCAAATATTTTTATATCTAAGATGAATTTTCTGGATTTTTTTTTGTAACATTAATCAGAACACATAATATTTTAATAAAATAAAGAGAAATAATACAATTTTTATTATAAACTGTAAGATATTCTGACTTTTAGTATATCTTTGTAACATCCGTCCCCTACCCACACAGTCCGCAAGAGATGTAATATTTTGAAAAAAGTATCCAAAAAGTTATCCTTTCTTTCCAAAAATATTGTCATAGACACCCTAAGGTACTTAAAAAGAGCAAATATTGTCTTGTATGTTTAACTTTATTTTTTGACTTAGATGCTAACACAATTGGCCCATTTACTGTGCATCAGGCAATTTGCAGGTTTCCCATTTGCAAAAACAACTTCTTTGTTACACTGAAGAGTAAGTTAGGCCATTTTTGCTGAAATTATTGTAAATTGTGACATGTGTAATTGTGTACAATAAAAAAAAGTCAATTGGAATAAAATTCTGTCCAAATTATATTCAGTGTGTTGTGGATTAATTGGTACAGTAACATTATAATAAACAACTGTTTTAAATGCATCTTCAGCAAATGTTTACTGCGACTGTTAACAGTTAGGTATGCTGTGGTTGGTTTTTTGAACTTTTGAATTCTTGTTTTTAACTAGAATCATTTCTTGTCAGCAGAAAAAGAAGAAGCATTTACCCACCATGAATGTGTTTTGCAGTTTTCTATAGAACTGAGTTAAACATTTGATTTTTTTTCTTTCGTTCCTCTATAATACTTAATTATTCATCAATTTAATCAGTAAAGGACATTGGGCTTCTAACCTTAATTAATGGAAAAAAATATTGATATTTGAAAATTTGCCTCTAATAGAACTATTCACATTCTTTTATGTCTCCTGTACATTTTTATTTAGCCATTATCAGGTTCAGATCTTGCTAGTGACTTTATTTTTAATGTTGGAACAACCCATTTCTTACATATAGAGGATTTCAATATCACGGAGCCGTTTGTAATAGTATTGAATATGGAATCTGATGGTATTGCATAGAAATTAGATGACAAAGGGGATTTTAGAACTAGTCATTATTGCGCTACTGTTAAGAGTAAGAATATGGTTTAATTAGGAAATTCATAATTGACACTCTAATTACAGGATGATGAATTTGAAGGATTCACTGCTAAAGAACTCAAAGATGGTGAGAAGAAGCTTACTTTGTTTAATAAAGAGCAGCAAAAGAAAGAAGAAATGGAGGCACAGATGTCAGAGCTGGGCGAACCCGTAGAATATGGGGGGGAAAAGCTCAGGAAAATACGTATATCCTTAAAATCTTGGCCAGCGCCAGTAAAACCTGGAGTGAAAATGAAACATGTTGAAAAATCCAATGAAGTCTTACTTGAAGACAAAAGTGTTAGTCCAGGTAAAGCTAAATTTCATTCTACAAAGTTAAAAGGTTCAAAGTTATTTGACCACCGAAAGAAACCAAAGAAATTTAAATTGGACTATAAACATGGACTTCATGATACTGGTAATTTGGAAGGGAAAAGTAAAAAATCCGACATGGACATGGCAAAGTTCTTGCTTGAGAAGGCTAAACAAGCTAACAAACTACAAGAGCAAGCTAAAGCCCGCCGTTTGGCTGCTTCCAAGAAACCCGTCCAAGTTCAGCGAAGAGAGTTTGTATTGCCAACACAGAGTTCGCGTTCATCTCGGGTGATTAAACCAAATAAGAGGTTCTTGGAATCAGATACTGTGAATACAACTGTTATTAAAAAATCCAAATGTGAAGAAATTGTCGAAACTACACCAGAAAAACAACCAGACTCGACTTTCAAACTTGAACGAAAAAAGAGTTTAGACAGTTTCCGTCCAAGTTTCAGTGGCAGTCCGAACAGTATAGGGTTACTTGACCAACCACTCATAGTGGACGGTAAAAGAGACAGAAAACCAAGTTTGAAATTACAAATGTCTGATGATGAGTCCTCCCTGTTCTCTCCTACAAAGTCTGCGATGACCAGTCCATTGGCAGCACCCAAACTGGGAACCAGTCTGTTTGCAGGGTCCCAGTTTCAGAAGGCATCAGAGAAACAGAAATTTAGCATGATGGGATTTGGTGCCTCTAGGTTACACGGAACATCTATTGTTCAGAAAGCCAAGTTGCAACTTAATAGGGCAGCCCTGAATAAGTCAAAAGCAGCGTTGGCGAGGTCACTGAAGGCAGAAATGAAACGTGAAGCTAAATATGCAGAACAAGCAAAACAGTATGAAGCTGAAACCACTACGACAGTACCAACTGATAAACCAGTCATGGAGAAAGGTATGTTGTAATTTGCACTGTTTTATAATGAAAATATTTACACTGTTGCTTGTTTTTCTTACAAGAGATGACTTAATATTAAATGCTTTGTGTGTAGATATATTTTATGAATATAGGAAACTTTGAACCCTTTCTGTAATTCAGTGCCGTACAAACTTCATGTAAATGTCAGCAAGTTGTCATGATGGTGTCTTAAATATATTAAATAGTACTGATATTTAATGATCTCTGAGCGGGCCCTGTTCACATGGCATAGAAATCAATTTCTTTTTGGCTGCTGGCTTATTAGTCACAGGTTTCTGTGATCATTGATGCTGGTTTTTTAAAAAGGGCCATATTTTGCCATTTGCAGTGAGTAATAGTACAGAACATACTGTTTTCAGGGAAAAGGGGACGAAAGAGAAAGAGTTGTGCTGTCTGCGGAAAGAAAACAGACTTGACTGTTTGCTATGAGAAGATACTGGCCTGCATGTCTTGTAGAAGATTTTACAAGGAAATAAAATGGTTTATTAATGTAGGCACTTTCACCAAACCAATCTGTTATAAGAATGGTATGTACATGTACTTATGATACAAGTTTTCTTCCCTGTTTAGAGTGTTATCCCATTTACCTGTCATAGTGATATTTGTGCAAGTTCAAAAAGTTGGGTAAATGCCTTTTCTTAATTGGCAGAACGCTTTATAGTAGTCCGAACAAGGCTAACATTTAGGGTGATGGAAGGTCATGCAAAATAGATGACCTCGATTTATTTGAAAAAAAAATCATTGCACGAAAAAGGTTTTATAATGAATTAAGAACGTATTTACATTATGTGGAAGAGTTAAACCATATGCTTATTCACCAGTACTTGGCAATGAGGACAGTGCCACAGAATATCATTGTCACAATGACCATATTAGCAGTCCTGATCTTAAAAAAGTTAACAAATCATCATAAGACCATGTGTCATAGTTAATTGGTTCCCATTGAGGGGGTCATAGTACTCATACATGTTTCACAAACATCTGTGGTTCAAACTTGTTTTAAGATATTTTCAGAAAAAGCCAACAGATTTTTTTCATGCATAATTTGTTCAGAAATTCTAATTATTGATAATGAATAATCTTCACTCCTGATTATGTTAATGCTTTTCTAAAGTAGACAAGCTGCACAAGTAATGTGGATAACTTAAGATCGTTTATCTTATGGTAATTTCTTTCTTGTAATGAAAAGTGTATATATATTGAATAACCTTTTAAACTGAGCATATATGTAAACTGTTTCAGACAAAGTGTAAGTTGATACCTGACAAAATAAAATGTAGATTTTGTCGTATAAAGAAAAGCTCTTCAAGTTGGGTTTCCAGCCTTACCTGAGATGACAGAGCTGTTTGTAGAGGAAAAGAGGGAGGTGAAGAAAGCTGTAACGATTGAGGAACCAGTTTATGTAGATGTCGAGACTTGTTCCCCAGCTGTAAAGAAAGTTGAAGAGATTTGTTCCCCGACTGTAAAGAAAAGCGTGAGAAAGGGCACGCCCGTACAGTCTCCGATACATGTATCTGAAACACCAACACTTTCTATATCGCCTCCTCCGTTGCCTCCAACATTAGATGAGACAGTATGTATATATTCCTAATTATATACATGCAGTATGTATTGATAACTTTAGTTATAAGTTATGTCTGCAATAGGGGTAACTTTCTCAATAGTGGTTGTTGAATTAGTATCAGTTGGCTCAAAGGGTTGAGGGAAAATTCACTCAATTCACTCATATGCTAGTTATATAGATGCAGTACGGTTTTAATAACTTTAGTTATATCTGCAATAGGGGTAACCTTCTTGACAATGTTTGTTGAAGCGATGTAAGTTGGCTCACAGGGATGAGGAAAATTCACTCCTCTGCTCTTATTTACTCACATAATTTGAGAGACTGCAGAAGGACAAGAAAAAAATGTAGCCTGCTTGTCAAATATAGTACAGTAAAAACTCTGAAAACCGGACCCTTTCCGGACTTGACCAAAAGTCCGGTTTTCAGAGGTTTCCGGTTTTCAGAGGTTTTTTACTTTAATTGATAATTATGATGTGATTGAACTATGACTTTGTTCAAACATTTTGTATTTACTTTTTAACACTTTTGTCTAAGTCATATTTTAATTTCTTTAAGCAATAAATGTCTTAAGTGATTTCATTATGCAAATCCATAAATATAATTCAGAAAATCAGAAATTAAAACAACATATTGTCTGAAATATATCTTTTTAATTGGCTTTTGAAATATGTTTAGTATTACTATGTTTGCATATAATAAATATCCAAACAAATATCAATTTTTTTAGCAAAGCAGGAATCATTTTACAAAAGTGTCCCAATTCTTTTACAAATTTAAAACATTTAGAAAAATCATACTTATACAGGGAAAGGCACAATTGTAATGGAAGAGCAATAATTTAATTGCCAATAAGAAATTAGCACACACTAACAAGTGTTTTCCCACCTGCATAGATAAAAAAGGAGATCATTAACTGGTCATTAAACATGTCACCTGTTGAGATTATGTTTTAATATACATTAAAATACACAGAAAGTTGACACTTAAAATTGCTGTCCGGTTTTCAGAGGATTTTTTATGCATGTTTAGCATTAGAAACCATAGAAAATCGTCCGGTTTTCGGAATTCAGAGGTTCCGGTATTCGGAGGATTTTTTTTCAATGAACATATAAGAAGAAAATACGGGACTTTTGAAATGGTCCGGTTTTCAGAGGATTCCGGTTTTCAGAGGGTCCGGTTTTCAGAGTTTTTACTGTACTTACTTGTACTGCAGGGAGAGTTGCTCTCAAAATTGTTTTGGATCCCTAGCTCAAACCTCTGTAATTATGGCTTTGGATCTTTTCATTGGAGGAAAATTTTACAGGTATTTTATGGGAGTCTGTGGTTCTACACAAGTGCCTCAAGTGAAGCTGAAAGATTGTCTTGTGGGAGAAAATTGTCAATGTGTCAAGAACAAAAGAAGAACTTAAAAAAAGGAATTAAATTGCATTGTCACATAACTTATTATGTTGTTTCTTTTGATAAAATTGCAACTCCAAAATTTCATTTATCTAATTTCACTTATTTCAGCCAACAAAAGAGCAGGAGTTATCACCCCTGAAAGCTGGGGAAGGTTCAGAAAAGCGACAGAGAAAGAAGAGGGCATTTAAAGAGCTATTGCGCAATAAGCAGGACAAAGTGGAAGAGGAAGAACCAGTTCAACAAGGTAAACATGTACATGTTTGTTCTTTTATTGGTTGGAAACAAAATAGTCTTTAAGTTTCTAAAAGGGGAATAGCAGTTTGTTGTTGTTTTATTATGCTAGTGAAAACTGTTGTGTTACAATAATTTACAAATGGTGGATTTTTGATATCTTTTCATACATTCTCCACTTATGTTATGAAACAGACTCGAAGTTTAGAACTTTCTTTGCAAAGATTTTATGATAAAAACTGATTTTTAGCAGCCAACAGGTTTTACCAAACAACAGGACTTGGCAGGAAGAAATTACTGGGTACTTGGGGGAATATACAATGTCTTAACCTTTTTGCTTGCACTTACAAAAACACAAAAACTAAATTTTTTTTTTCTTACAGAAAAACCTGTCATTCAAGAACCCATACCTGTAGTTGCAACAGGAAGTGTTGAAATCTCCCCACGGGGTGGTCCAGGTCCAAGGATCAAGCATGTGTGTCGCAATGCGGCTGTTGTCCTAGGACAACCTCTGGCCACATTTCCTGAGAAGTCAGAATTACGTCTTAGTGCACTGCCAACAAAAGATAAGGTTCAGTTGTGGAAGAAAGATGAAGAGAGTAAAGCAGGTTAGGGGTTTAACTTTCTGTATTTCATTGTTCTTGTAACAATATTAAAACCTATATATTAATCTTAGCTCAATAGGGAGAGCATTGGCTTTGTAATCAAGGGTTTGCTAGTTTAATCCGTGGGCAAGGGGAACTTTTTGAGTGAAAACTGATCTAGGACATCAAGTCTTATGGTCATAAGTCAATCATTTGGTTGAGAAATTAGTAATTACTGGTTAAATATCAAGGATCAAAAGGTCAATACCAATTAAAAAATTCAGTCAATGATATGATATGTACATATTTCAGCAAATGATGAGTCTGATGATGATCGACCAATGGAGGAGATCATACAGCAGTCGGGTGATAGTGTTGTGATCATGAAGAAATCTCCGGCAAGGGGCAAGATCAGCAAGAAGCTGACCGGAGCTGGCGGTCTACATCTTTACAAAAGGAAGATGAGGTGTCGTCAGTGTCCCGGCTGCGTCAGACAAGACTGTGGGATATGTCGGCATTGTCTGTAAGCTGTAGTGTCTGTTATTCTTATTTACTTTATTTTAATTACATTATCATATCATACATTGATATGCAACTCACTACAGAGTTAGAGCAGTACCTCCAGATGCTTGCAGAAATCATGATCACAAAAAAGAAAAATATCGCTTTTTTACGCTGATTTTGACATTTTTCATTCATAATTGTATATAAATCGTGTGTGAATAGATGATTTTGACACCTAAAAGTGCATTACTAAGGGTGAAAAGGTGTGATTTAAACATTTAGAAATTCAAGCGCCTGTCTGGTATATACCGGAATATAGTATTTAGTGTGGTTGTGGTGCTTCAATCCTTTTTTTAGTCTCACTGAAAATGATTTGTTGAAATGTTTTTTGTTTGTTAATGACGTAAACAAAGTGTAGTTCACTCAAACCATATGATAGCATCTATTATAATTCAAACATATGTGTCTATATAGATCAATTTTCTTTTATTATTTAAATTGTTTTGTGATTCTGTTTTCTATGTACATTGTAGATGTTTATCTGATGAGTTTGTTTCAGGGACATGAAAAAGTATGGAGGCCCAGGGACTATTAAGAAAGCTTGTGTGTAAGTGAATAATTTTATTTCCATAGATTTCATGATTATGATTTTATAATTGCAGAGATAAACCAAAATTTGGTGGACAAGGCGTTCTCAAACAGGGCTGTGTGTAAGTCTATCTGTGTAGTGTTTAGTGCTGTGTTGAAGTAATTAGTTTTGCTTGTAGTGCTGTGTACTCGTATATGTGTTGTGTATCTTTGTAGAATGCTGTATACTTTAATTTTAGCTACATAATTATGCTTGTAATAAACTATTTTAAATGGTTATTTGTACAACCAGGCTCTCTTTAAGATCATTTCTAACAATTAGACAAGTTTTATTCAAGGAAAAGAATTTATTTTTCTTAAATTGATTTGATATTTAATGGAATAGTTGACTCACAGAATATTATTAAAGGGATATTCAGGCAAATTAATGACAAAAATTTCAAAATTATCTTATTTACTCAAATCGCGCTAAAATGACATTTGTAAAAGTGCCAGCATGAATTTCTGTATAAAGTCTATATATTTTGGGTTTGAAACGTAAATATATCTTTATATGATGAACGAAATTATGCCACTGACAGAACAAACCCTGGAAGTTACAATAACAGATATTGTGGATATTGTATGATTGAAACAAACCTTAATCATTCATTTGGCCTGCTCTTTAACGTTTCAAGAGTTCACTAAGACAACTAATGTGAAATCTTATCGCTCTAACCTGACCCACAGGAAACCACCATTTTATTCTTTATAAGGAGGAAAGTTTTGTTCCTGTGACTGCCAAGTGTATTCATTTTGAGGACATTTACAGATTAATGAATGAAAAGTTCAAAATGAAGAAATGAAAATTTTGCCTGTGTCTCCCTTTAAGTATTAAAAAAAGGTTGACCCGCCCCTGTAGCTTGTTATTTAGATTGTAAGCTTTTAACTTTCTTTGCTTGATATATAATTAACAACTGTATAGTTTTTGCTTTTTCTTTTGCTTTAGTGTGGCACTTGGGTAATCTTTTGTTGCTCTTACTGACCTTTAATTGTATGAATGGACACGATCTACTTCTGAATTTGTGTAATGTACACTTTCTTCTTTCAATTTAAACTGGTCTTTAAACCTTTTTCTGCTGACTGCAACTGAATCTATCAGTAAAACCAGTGCAGACTAAGATCAGCTGGCACATCCTTGCCATCTGATCGTGGTCTGTACTGTTTGCTGTGTACTTATTTTGTGAACTTATTTTGCGATTTTCACTAAAAATAATAGATGGTTTTGTCCGGATTGAAAGATGGACAAGTCCATTTAAGGTATTTAGTGTAGTAAGAGTTATTTTATTTCCAGAAAGTTTCAGAAAGCAATTCTTATATTGAACAACAGTCAATTGTATAAAACAGCTGGTCTGGCACTGAAGTGGTGACAACGGCTTACTATAGAGTCTAAAAAAATTGAATGTTATAGAAAGTAGTGCTTAGCAGTTGTTATGCAATGTGTCCATTTATATAATTTTTTGTTTTGTTTTTTTTTCATTATTTTTCTTGTGTTTTTTCCATCTAAAACTTGTGATATATGTATAACCTTTTCAAAAGGTGTCCCTACATAAATTTCTTTTCATCATTATGAAACAGTACACAATACTGAGAGCCTCATAGAATTATAGTGACCATTCATGAATATTAACATTATTTAAAGGCCTGCTTACACTTATATAGATGAAGAAGGAGCACATTTATGTCAAGTATTATATAAATGATTTTAATAATATTGTATTAACAATTATCTTTTTATGCCTTCCCTGAAAGTACTCTGGATATGCTGCTTTGTATATTTCTGTCCATTTACATTTATAGAGCAAACTTCGCCTGATATTAAATTAACTACATTAAGAAGTTGAGTTTTACATGACTAAAAAAAATTCTTTACATTTACATATCCCTTTATTCGAATGAACTTTTCTTGAAAATGTTATTTCAGTTATCTGTTTTTGTTCAGATTTTGTTTGTCTTTGTTTATTAGAATCTTTTAAACTAAATTTAGTTAAGACAATAGAAAATGAATTAGATTCTCATCCATGTTAACAAAAACCCATCAATCCATGATGGATTGTAAAAGACTTTGGAATAGTAATAAATATGAAATATAGGTACATAATGAAAATGAAAAATAGAAAATATATATGTAGAAAAACGTGCTCTCACACCCCATTTCCCCTAAAAATTTTGATGAGAATCTTGTTATTTATGTTCTGTTGCATTACCTTAATTTTATAACTGATTGACTGTGCCTCAAGTAAAACAGTTTTAACATGATAACTTTTATTCTGCTAATAATTTTATTCAGATTTCTTTAAAGCAAATTATACCTCAAGCAACTGGATATAGATATGAAGATGCATATTAATTTGTAATTGTTTTTGATTACAATTTTTCAGGGAACGAAGATGTTCCAAGCCGTTAATCAAGCGTTCAGCTACAGAAGCATTCATTGATGAAAAAAAGAAAGATGTAACTGTACCAAGAGTTGAACGGACAAGAGCTGTCTCAGAAAGTGATGGGCAGGAGGGTCAAAGTGATTTTGCTCCTAGTGATAACCTGGAACCAGTCATTCCAGGGTCAGAGGTCACACAGACTGTGTTTGGTCTAGAAACTCAGACTGGTACCCTCCTTGAGGATGAGACCCAGTCCAATAATAATGTCTCTGAGAAACCAAATGAAAATATTCCTGCAGAAAAGGAGGCGAAGCCTCTTCCAGAGCAAACAAGTTCGCAGAAATATGATTTAGAAAAGCAGAGGATTGTTACTAGGGGTCAAAGCACGACCACAAGAAGTCATAGTTCAGAGGTGAGAAAGTTGACATTTGAGGATATACCAAATTTCCAGCTAGAAAGAATATCATCACGAAATAAAGAATCTGGGAAGATATCATCAAAGTTGATGAAAAAGATGGAAATGCAGGAAAAATATTCGAAGAAAGAAGGAGGGGTATGAATTTTTTGCTTTCTTCGACATTTTACCGGTATGCTGTTTTGGTGTGTTTCATTGTTTATTAGTTTTTTTAAACATCAGAGAAGATTGTTTTAAAAGTAATTTAAGCATAAAAGAAAACATGTGCTGTGTTGAAAGGACTTTTCATGGCTACAATTTTTAGCTCGACTTTTTTTTTTTTTTTTCAAAAAAAAAAGTAGAGGTATTGCTATAGTTGCGGTGGCGTTGCCGTCCGCAAACTTGTACCTGGATCATAACTTTTTTTATTTCTTGGTGTATTGTCTTCATACTTGGCCACAACAACCCTTGGGACAAGACCTTTCAGTAGACCACACTAACCTTTACCTTCATCCATAAATGACCTTGACCTTCAAGGTTAAAAGTCCAAATTTTGCTTGTTCATGCTGTTATTGGCTCTTACTTTGTTATTACTGAATGGATTGTCTTCAAACTTGAACATAATAATCTTCAAGGATATCCATTAAAGATAACCAGACAGACCTTGACATTCACTCATAAATGACCTTGACTTTGAAGGTCAAATTCTTTAAATTTTCATTTTTTGGGCTATTATTGGCTGTAACTTTGTTATTTTTGAATGGATTGTCTTCAAACTTGAACATAATAATCTTCAAGGATAAACCTTAAAAATAGCCAGACAAACCGTGACCTTCACTCAGTAATGACCTTGACTTTGAAGTTCAAATTATTGAAATTTTCATTGTTTTGGCTGTAACTGGCTGTAACTTTGCTATTATTGAAGGGATCAATTTCATATTATAACAGAACATACTTAAGGACAAGACCTTGTTGTTTATCAAACACTTGGGCTCTTTAATGACCTTGACCTTGAAGGTTAAATTACTAAATTTTCTCAGATTTGATGACCATATATATTTATTGGTGTGTATCTGTATCATCATCAACAACAACATCAAGTGACACCACCACGTGACACCACATGACTCCACCACGTGACTACCACATGACTCCACGACGTGATTCAACCACGTGACTCCACCACGTGACTTCACCACGTGACTCCGCCACGTGACTCCACCACGTGACTTTACCACGTGACTCCACCACGTGACTTCACCATGTGACTTTACCACGTGACTCCACCACGTGACTCAACCAACGTGACTCCACCATGTGACTTCAACCACGTGACTTCATCATGTGTGACTCCACAAACGTGACTCCACAAACGTGACTCCACAAACGTGACTCCACCACGTGTCTCCACCATATGTCTCCACCACGTGACTTCACCACGTGACTCTACCACGTGACTCTACCATGTGACTTCAATCACATGACTTCAACCACGTGACTCCACAACGTGACTCCACCACGTGACACCACCACGTGACATCACCATGTGACACCACCATGTGACACCACCACCTGACACCATGTGCCAACCACGTGACACCACCATGTGTCACCACGTGACTCCACCATTTGTATCTATTTATAGAATTTTCTATTTATAGAATTTTCTATTTATAGAATTGTGTGTTTCTATTTATAGAATTTTCTATTTATAGAATTGCGTGTTTCTATTTAAAATTTATAGACGAAACAAATGTGACAAGACAGACCGATTAATTTTATAAAAAGGAAACGTTAAGATTTTGTTCAAACATTTCTTTGCTGCTTTTAGAGAAAGTAAAAAGTCGAGCGTTGCACCCGCCCGGCGGTGGCTCTTGTTAACTTTTAATGTAACATTTTTCTTACCATTGTTATAAATGATGGATGTTTTCTATATTTATGCCAATGAAAACAATTTATATTTTTATTTCCAAACAGAATGATGGCCAATGTTACCCAGTAACCTTACAGTCGGTACTCCCTGCATCAAGACAGTGGGGAAGTCTACTTTCACAACCAAAATACTATCCTATCAAGGTGGACTTTAAGGTATAGTTGTCTAAACATGATGTTTCATATGTAGGGTTGTCCACTTGATTAACGCTAGTGTTGTAAATTCGTCATACAATCAAACCTTCAAACAAAGGCCACTCAATAGAGACAAAACATGGTCTAAATAGAAAAGTGGTCTTTATTATTAGAGGTTACTTTATTACATTAATCAATGAAGGGTTATCTTTATTTACAGGGGGTTATCTTTATTTACAGGGTTATCTTTATTCAGAGGTTGTCTTTAACACAGGATTGACAGTACAAGAATATAATAAGGAAGAGAAAAAGAAATTACCTTGGCATTGACCAAGCTTAAATCTTTGAATGGGCCTCCGATCTTATAACAGGAACTAGCCATTGTTCATTTAAAAGATTTCAAAATGAAGGTGCTAAATTCACTAGGCCAAAAGGAAAAAATGTACAGTCAGATTTTGGACTGGCCTATGTCTGTACTATAATACATTGTGTATATCCTTATATTTCTAATAATTAAGTGTGTATTTCTTCCTTTCTTTCAGGGTAAATGTGATTTAGGTTCAGCTTGGAATTACGGGATGGCTTTAACAATATCAAATGCTATGAGTGTTAGAGCCTTGTGTTTCCTGTGTGGAAGTGCTGGTAAACATGAGGTCAGTCATATTTTCATAAAAAATAATGCAAAAAGATATTCATTTGCAAACACAAATCAATAGAATTGGATTGTTAAGCACCCTGATTTAGATTGTTAGGTACCCTGATTTTCAAAGTCTGTTAGTCTCACAGAGAATTTTGGTGATTACTGGTTAGTTATCTATGAAAGTCTGTTAGGTGAACCAGCCTCTGAGATTGTTTAAATTTCACACATAAAATCAATTTTGAAGATAATTTTTGAAAACAAAAATGTGGACATCTAAGGTGTCACCTTTTGATCATCTATCACTTACAATTTACATGTTGTATGTTTGAGTCACTAATACAGACCTTGGATATCTAGCTTTGGGTAACTTAATTACATTCGTTATTTGACTTTGCAAAACAGTTAACCATAAGCTAAATATTTAGGTCTGTACTTGAAGCCAGTATTTGATTTTTTCTTCTAAAAATAGCTACTGAATTTACAACTTCATTTATAAAGCCAAAATGACAGCATTCTAAGCAAGAAATTCATTCATTAAAAGTGCAAGGGAATGACATCATTTTACATATGCAATTTGTCTTACACAGGGGTATTAGATGACTTTTTCTAGCAGTGATATAAACAGTTGAAAATTCTCTCTTATATGCACTAAAAATCCTATTTGTGAGATATATATTTTTTTTTATTTCAGATGATATATTGTAACATATGTTGTGAGCCTTTCCACGAGTTTTGTTTGGAAGACTGGGAACAGCCGACGCCCGATCACTTTGACGATTGGATATGTGCAGCATGTCAGTTCTGTCATGTTTGTGGGCGACAGAATAATGTAAGTATATTCATACTGTAAGCGAATTAGTAATTAAACTAACTACTTTGAGTATCAACTTCTTGATATTTGTTTTGTTTGTCACTTAATGCTGGTGATAAAGGCAAATTAGTTAATAGACACTATTATACACACTTAAAGTTAAAAAGTAAAGTCATATTACATGTATCTTATAAGTTATCTTTCTTATTCCAGCTTTTACAATGTGATAAATGTCAGAACACGTACCATCCTGGTTGTCTGGGACCTAATTACCCCACTAAACCTTCTAAAAGAAAAAATATCTGGGTAAGTATAAAAAATGAAATATGATTTACTGGTAGAGCAGTATCTAGGTGGATAATTCTGTCATCTTGTTAATCAGTCACCATTTGAGATATAGGGAATTATATGTATTCTGGTGTCTAATATCGGACAAAGGTTCAAATGTACCCTTTATTGTACCTTTCTGAGTCCTATTGAAACCAAACTATAATCTTAGACCAGTCTATTTGATGACTTTTTGATACATGTACGATGTTTTGAAAGGCTGAAGTGTGTTAGTGTCTGAAATATTTTAGAAAGAAAATTTGCTGAATTCTATAAATTTCTGAGGTTACAATTTGTATCCATTTTAAATACATGTATTTTGCTTTGATCAGTGTGTCGGGGTATGTATATGTTTTGAGTCATAAATATTAATGAGCAGCCCCACTTGAAAACATGTGTAAGTGATATTGTTGCAAGACACCCGCCCATTGATTGAGGTATTTAATACTTAATAGTTGTTGACGCAAACTGCAAAAATCCCTTGTACAAAATTTAGGTTTAAAATGTTATTTGAGTGACTTATAAGTAATGTAAACTTAAGTAGAGGAGGATCATACAAAATTGTTACCTCTTCTCGGAGGTTCTCTGTGTATCCTGTAAACTTTATTTTATTCTCTTAATGTTTGACATTATTTCACATAATATAAAAGTTTTGTACTCCTGATTTCTTACAGATTTGTACAAAATGTGTGAAATGTAAAAGTTGTGGGGCAACAACTCCAGGTTCGGACTCCCAAGCCACATGGACATATGATTTTTCACTGTGTTTTGAATGTGGTCGGTTGATGGACAAGGGTAATTTCTGTCCTATATGTCGGAAATGTTACTCGGACGATGACTGGGAGTCGAAGATGATTCAGTGTAACATGTGTGAGAGCTGGGTACATTCAAAATGTGAAGGCCTTACAGGTATGGTGTAAATTTAAGTACTTGAAATATTGATGTTTTGATACACGTCTATTGTTTTGAATCTATTTCGTCTATTGGTGAAAACTCACATCTAGTTTGTTTAATACGAATTTTGTAAACAAATATTGATAACATATCCTCTCCTTAGTGCAGCAACTGTTTAACTCTTACTAAGTTTTATAAGTTAACACATTACTGCACTAAGGTGGCAATATAAGAAATGTGCATGAAACATAGATGAATATCAAAACTTTTTACTTAAATATATTAGTTTAGAGAGTATTTTATTCAGAAGATCTTTAGATTTCCTTTACTATTAAGGTCTAACTAACTTGATTCATTCCACTCAGTTTTTTGCAGATAATGTGAAAAAATATGGACAAGTTCATAATTTCATTTTCTGAAGACAACTTAAAATAAGAATGAACTATTTTCAGCTTTTTCTATAAGAATTGTTTATGATAGATAAAAATTAGTTTTCTATTATTTTTTTCCAGATGAAATGTATGAAATATTGTCGTATTTACCAGAAGATCTCTCTTTTTACTGCCGTAAATGTTTCCCCGTCGGCTGTCCTGAATGGGAGAGTACATTAAAACGAGAACTTAGACTAGGCCTGGAAAATATTCTACAGTCATTAATACTTTCTAAATCATCACAATATATACTGAAACAGGAAAAGGTAAGGTGGATCATTACAAAAATATACTAGCTTATAATTATGTTATAGGAATGTGTAACATTTGATATTTGTGTATGTTTAAGATTGGGCCTCTGTAATAGAGTGATTGAAGTTACTAAATCATATGCCCCTCATTGCTGTTTGTTTATGCCTTACAATGTCATTGGATTCATTTATGTGCAGGAGCTCTCTAGAGCTATCTTGGAAAGATCATCTTTACTCGGTTATTTGCCTGCTTATGCCTAAAAATGTGCATGGAAGAGGACTGGAAGTTTTTTTTCCAAAGTAGCCATATAACCATAAAGTGTTAGGGTGTCTTAATTTATATGTCACCCTCAGGACCTCTTTATTTTGTTCCTTACCTTGCTGGATGCCTTATAGATTGTTCTGTGGAGCTGGGCACTGTTGCAGGGCTGCTTTTAGTGAATATCAATCTTCCTTGTTTATCTTTCCTTTTACATTCAAAACCAGACTAAAACTGTAATAAAAAGTATGCTAGAAAATAATGTATAGGTTTTAATTCTCAAGAAAATCATAAAATGTAAAAATGTTCAAAAGGTTATCTATGTTTATCCTCTCTTGCAGAAATCTCCTCCAAAACAGCAAGCTCTGCCCTCTCACCAAACTCCAGAAAAACAAAAGAAATCCTACACATTAAACAACACTAGAAATACAGAGGCCACACAGGAAAGGGTGAAAAGAAACATGAAAAGTTTTGAAAAAATTAAACAATTGTTAAATTGTGGGAATAGTAAAGGGTTGACTAACGGTATTGTTGAAGATTCAAACATTGATAATCTTGAGTTAAACAGCGAAGATTCATGTGAAAACGGTCTTCAGACTGATAATAAGTTAAAACAAGCTTGCGTAAACGAGTTTGGAAATACTATTAATGACACAAATTCAAGAGAAAACCATGTTGCTATGGAAACTAATGATAATTCCGGTGATAACTCACTGTCTCAGACTAATAATATTGTTGGTGATACTTCTGACGTTGCTGAACATGTGATAAATACTGTGAATAATGAGATAACAAAGCAAAGCTGTGATAATAATGATGATAATGACCCTAATAAGGGCGTTCCTCCTAATGAGGGTTGTCCTGTAACCAAGGGTTGTCCTGTAAGTAAGGATTGCGCCACCAGTAAAATTGTTGAAAATAAAGGAATGGTGGAAGATAGAACTATTATCTGTGATAAACAAACAGTTAGTGATTATGTCAATAAAGTGCAAGGTTGTGATGATGAAAGTGAAATTAATAGGAAAACAACTGAAGAAATTCATTGTGATAATACAAATAGTGATAATGCATTGACTTCTGGGAGTTCTGAGCTTCCACAAAATGAGATTATTAGGTCAGAAAGAATAGACGATGAAGTTAAAAATGAGAGAACTGAAGGTAGTGAGGGGGTTGTCACACATTCAGAAGGTAAAGGAACACAGTGTAGCATTACTCATCAAAAGCTAAATACTGATTTAAATGTGCAAGTTGTAAATGTTGGAATTTCAGGTGTAGACACTAAGAAGTCAGATTTAGAAACACAGGCAGCTGAAAATAAAGGGGAAGTTGTTCAGAGAAGAAATACTCGCGTACATTTTAGTGTGGATGAATCCAAGAATGAACATGTTGTAGGAGAGATTAAAGAGACCGAAAATAATTTTCCGAAAGATTTGATGGAAATTGCTCAGAAAATGAAAACTGGGGACTATAAAAGTGTGGTAAGTTTGTATGTAATCTTTTAAACAGATACAAAAGATACATGTACTTTGAATTTCTTTTTTCGCTTTACTTTTTATAACAAGTGTTTCAAAATTAGGATGAAGATAATTTCATGTTTGAGAATTTTGTTTGTGAATTGGGGGAAAAAGAATTGTTTTCTCTGTCAGCATAAAAAAAGGACCAGTCACCTATTATACCTTGTACCCTTAAATACAGGCCCTAAAATACCCTATATAATTAAAAATATGACAATATCATTGGGGACATAAATTGGCCCTAAAATACCTTGTACACTTGAGAATATGACAATATCGGCTAGATACATGCCCTAACTGAGAATATTAACATATTGGCGGGGAAAAAACAGGCCCATGATATACCTTGTATAACATTAGTTATGTTACAGGCAATATTTTGTGAGGATATATTACGTGTAATACAAACCTACCTGGATAATGAAGAAGAAGCTAGAACATCCAGGAAGAAAGCCACACAGTCTGCTAAATCAATATTTGCTAAGGTAATAATTATATTTTATCTGAAGTTAAACAACTTATCAAATTGGGGTTAAGATTGCTGATGTTGCCACTAATAATTTTGAACACTGTAGTGTGTTGAATTGTGTTGTTGATAATGAAGCAGTTGTGGTATTTTAGAATTTTACAGGCAGTTCCAAGTTCTTGTCAAGACTGAAGATCAAATTGAAATTTAGATTGAATATAAGAAAAAAAAAATCATGAAATTACATCTTTACTATAGCTTTGTTATACATGCATAGCTAATAAAATAGTTCTATTATTTGACAGCAACTAGAGAAAGTGTTTCCATGGTTTAATGTGAAGACATGTAGACACTGGTACAGCATGAGAAGTCTACCAGAGTAAGTGTATATTACAATATTTTGTTAAGTTGTTTTGGAATTGACAAAATAGTTTGATTTTACACCCACTTAGTCTTGTTACGGATTTTCTGCAGCCAAACTTGTGGCTATTACTTTTGAGATTTTCTTGCTCAGTAATAGACATTTTTTTAGGGCTGCAGTTCTGTATTCTTGCCATTCTTTTCCCCCAAGTCAGAAACACATATGAGCAGCACACTGCCCATACATAAATGTTGAAATTGGACAACTGAACGGATTTCAGACAATTTAATAAAAAAATGTTAAAAATCTCAAAGATATATATTCCTTTAAGCTATTTCAACAAAATAATTTATCTTTCATGGATATAATTATTTTTCATCAGAACTCTTCAATTTTCCTTACTTAGATGTGAATTATCCTTACCCAGATGTATAATGTAATTATTACAATTATTACAGTGGAATGTTAGCAGATGCTACATTGCCTCCTAACAACGACCATACTTACGCTCAGTGGTTAGAGAGGATAGAAGTCCCAAGGTCGCCTCAACCATCACCATTCAAGAGGAGGACAGCAACACCTGTAAAGAAATACATGCCAATTGGTAAGTCCCTCATTTTAATTATGTTTGTAAATTTCATTTTAGTTTAAACATAAAATTCACTTTAGTTTGATTATGACGAAAGTTAAGATCTTTTATTTGAAAGACATAGATCACGTCCTCAGTCTTGAGAAAATATGGTTGTTATATGGCCCAGTAGGTCTCGAGCCTGCAAGCCCTGGATTGATTAAGAGTTGGGACTTGTTCACTAATTAGCAACTATCTGATAAGCATTAGTGATGACACTTTTATTGAGATGGGTCAGCAGACCCTACTGTCGGCTGTTTCGGTATTACAAAATCCTAATGAAAATATTTAAACATTTCAAATGAACAAATCTGTTGCATGAATTCAGGTAGGTAAGAATCGTCATGCCTGTCAATGAATTGGAATTCTCTATATTTAATTCAACCAGATAATAAATGCTCGTAAATTCTTCACATTTCATTAAGATGCAAAATTGAAAGAAATCAGTTCACGGCTTAAATATATTCTTGAATAACTTCTTTTACATTTCCAAGTGCTTGAAGAAAATTTGTGTATATTGGTTAATCATTGTACAATTTGATTTGGGTAAGTTTGGAAGATGTAAGTTTGTCATAATGAAAAATAATGTTTAAATAATAGTGCCTTTATTACAAAACATTTGTTATGTATATAGATGAGGAAGATTATGAGCCTGGTCAGATGTATGATGGTGATGATGAAAGAAAGTGTATGTTCTGTCAGACATTTGGTGACCAGGAAGCTAATGTAAGTACCTTACTTTATTCATTATATAAAATATGTATCTTATCCCTTTCTGACCGAAAAGCGAACGTACAGGCTGATCTGGATCTGCACTGGTCGCACATGCGTTAAAAATATATCCATGTGGTAAAGGGTTAAGAAATAGAATATAACTCCAAAGGAATGTGCCTTGGGTGACAGTCTTCAAAAATTAAGTTAACATATTTAGAAAGGAACCTTTGTTGGTATTGTACAGATTCTATCTCAAGCCGTTAAAATAAAAATCAACCTATATTTTGGTAAATACACTGACTTGTGTTGCCCTATTTAAAAGAAAAGAACTGACATAAGGAATTAAGTAGTTTTATTGATTTGGCTCAATGTTGAGAACTTATTTTAAGGTTAAGCCCTACTTGTTATAGTAGTTAGCTAATACTGGTAGTATTTTAGTTATTCTGTAAGTGACGCACTTTTTAGAAATTGTGTATTTTATATAAAGGATGCTGGACGATTATTGTACTGTGGACAAGATGATTGGTGTCATATAAACTGTGCATTATGGTCGGCGGAGGTTTATGAAGACGCTGATGGTGAACTTAAGAATATTGTAGAGGCCTTTAGTAGGGGCAAAATGTTGGTAAGTTATTAAATGCATTTCTTTTTTATGGAAAATGATGATTGGTTTGAGTATAGAAAATTGGACAGTTATAGTGCAGTGTTAAATCTAGAACAAATTCCCAGGGGGCCCTTCGGGCCCATAAACTTTTCAAAAGGGGGTCATTTGAGAAAAATGGGGGCCCACACTTAAAAGAACATCAAATTCAAATAAGGTATTGTATCTTTTAAGTTAGTTGTTCACGTACCATATGTAGACCAAAAACGGTTGCAAAAATCAACTAACTAAAAAAATGACATTATTTTGACCTTTTTTGAGAGTTCTGTTAGCGTTGATACAGGCTCAATTTTAAGAACTGATTGGTAAAGAAACGATGACATAAAGTTCAAAGAAACATATGAATCATATTTTAATGTTACAAGGGATATTTGATAATAATGTTCAGTTTTTAGCTCGACTATTCGAAGAATATGAGAGCTATTGTAGTCGCCCCGGCGTCGGCGTCAGCGTCCACGTCGGCGTCTGCGTTGGTTAAAGTTTTTTGTAAAGTCAAATATCTCAATTATTACTTGAGATAATCAATTGAAACTTGCAATACTTATTTATAGTAACAAGGTACATCAGATTGACAAGTTGGATAACTCTGCCTACAATATTGACAGAATTATGCCCCTTTTTAACTTAGAAATTTTGGTTAAAGTTTTTGTAAAGTCAAATATCTCAATTATTGCTTGAGATATTCAATTGAAACTTACAATACTTATTTATAGTAACAAGGTACATCAGATTGACAA